GGGGGGGGAGGGGGGGAAGGAGGTCCCTCGACCAGTTTTCCACGACTAGCTGACATGACTCTAAATCGTCATATTGTTTAAGAAATTGATATTTGAATAGACACACGTTAGGATATTATATTGTACAACAGACAAGGTAATGATTTCGCTCAAACATACACGACATGTATGTTACATTACGCATCCATTTTGTGGGTACGTTGTCCCGCGCTTTATGAAGTGTATCGGTCATAATGATATATATTTGAATTTTCCGGCCAAAATATTTTGATTTACTGTCATCAACAGAATTTACTGAGGTGGAGTGCTTATAAATAAAAGGGTTGATGATATTTTCACGTATGAACAAAACTGCATGCATATGTTGGTATACGGCGTAAGCCACTCCTTTAGCACAAAAACCTGCCAACATAAAGTAATATCAGTAAGTGGGTTTATATTTCAGCAAAAAAATGGCGAAACAGCAAAAATGTGCTTACTCTGCGTACTTGCCTACATTTTACGCTAAATTTGGAGGTGGTTACCCTCCACGACCAGTTTTCAACGAGTGGCCAACATGTTGCCAAATCTATCAAGATGTCTGCCTCGAAATGCCCGAGAAGTTATACACCCTCAACAGCTCAGAGAAGTTCAGGGAATGGATGGAAGAGGAACTTAGCAGAGTGAGTTTGATTTGTTTATATGTGAAACTTAGCGTACACTTGGAACGGACTAATTATTAGTAGATGGATGTTCTTGTTGTTTGATACACCAAGTTAATTATGTAATTCGGTTTGCCAATTTTTGGAAGAAATACTTAGTACACAAACACACACACGACAGTATACTATCTATTTTCTAATCTTCTTTATCCATTGTATTTCCTAATATCTTTCTTTCTATATTCTCTCATAAAAGTATATCCAAGTTATTTCTACATTCAGGTTGATTTATTAAAAGTTGACATGGCCATCACATCCCTGATTGACAAGGACTGTATCTCGCTGCTGGCGGGTTACCTGGCCTGTCTGAGCTACCTGGCACACGCCTATCGCTGGGGTACAGTACCGACCACGAGCCTGGAACGGGAAAGAAGCACTCTCGAGTTCCCTGACTGCCTCTGGGACCCTTTTAAAAAGGTGAAACAGCCCGCTAATGAAGACGAGATTATGAAACGTTCATGACCTGCGTATTATTATTAGGATTCCCCATAGGGGAATACTATTGTTTTTGGTAGTAGTATTATTATTATTAGGATTCCCCATAGGGGAATACTATTGTTTTTGGTATTATTATTATTATTATTATTATTATTATTATTATTATTATTCTTTCCGCGCGTTTTTTTACGCAAAAAATCTGAAATAATTTACATAGGTAGCCTATGGTAAGAATATGCTATAGACCCAGTTTTAGTGACCTTGACCTACTTTTCAAGGTCACAGGGGCTTTTAAATGCAAAATTTGTAAAATTTGTAATTGCCATTAGGCCTAAAGTATAAGCCATATGGCTATGGGCCTTATGGCCAGAGATACTGATGTAAATCCACAGATAATGACCTACTTTTATGCAAGTAGGTCAAGGTCAAGGTCGCTAATGGCCAAACAGGCTCAAAAAAGGTTTGTTTCCGAGATCTCCAAAACCGGAAGGCCCAGAGCCCTGATCATAGTGGCAAATGATGCCCTATATATTTATCTAAGGTTAGCCGTACTTTGGTAGCAACTGCATAATTACTTTTTTAAAAATAGATTTTTAAATATTTATGACATTGCAGAAANCCCCCCCAATTCGCACATGCTCTTTCAGAATATGGGGTCAAATTTAACCCATGACCTTCACATGACCTTGTAAGAGCATTTCCACACCTATTCTGCAGGGGAATCCTCCGCCACTGGCTTTAGCCAGTTGCAATCTAGTTATTATTATTATTATTATTATTATTATTATTAAAAACTTTGAATGTAATTTTTATTAAGTCCTTTATCCGTTTTCCTCCTTACCGACAGAAACGACACAATTTATAGGGCATACTTATTTATTTATTTAAAAGCACATTTTCCTCTTGGGATTCAAATGTCTAATTGTTTTTTCATTTTCTTTTATTTAATCACTCACTTATGACAATACTTAAATTTTTCATGATAATTTTCATGAAAATCTTTATCTTTTTTTCTTTTTTTTTATCAACAGGTGAATGATTATTTTGGCCTTCCGTATCGTGGCAACCACTTTTCTCTCATGGCATGCAACGCTATTTATGACGAAAGCGGATCACCTGTAAGTATGAAGTTCAAATGGAATTACGACCCGAAAATAGCGAACCAAGAAAGTAACTTCATGTTACTGATGGCAAAAGCCGAATGTGAAGCACCTCACACCCTCAATTCTCTCGCCGAGTACTTGGATTTGCTTCAAACGTTCAAAACCTCAGACGACAGGAATGACGTCGAGCAGCAGATGATCGAAAAGGTGTATCTTGCAAAGCGACACCTCTCGGCCCTCCTTAGGCAGGCCAATAAAATAATGGACGACAGTTTCATTTCAAGGGAGGTCTTTGCACCGCACATCCAGGGAATGATTGCATGGGGATTAGACACGGACGTTGGGTCGTCTGCTGCGGAAAATCTCATTTTCCAGACACTGAATGTGTTTTGCGACATGGAAGGTGCGAGCAAAATGAGTCGTTTTGGAAAGAGGACGAGGAAGAGCATTCCAGAAACCTCCAGGGTCTTATTAGCCAAGTTTGAAGAGAGCACAAAAGAAAATCTCTTTCCGACAGAGAAATTGGCCCAAGCAAAGGCTGACTTGATTACGGTGTTTTATTCCTTTATTTTGGGACATGCGCGAAAGGTACCGGGCTACATAGCTAAAAGTCCAATGACTGCTTCCAGATTCTTAAGAAAAGACTTGGTATCCAGCTTTAAGCGTAACATGAAAGAGCGTTGCGACGAAGTTTCATTTGCCCGAAACAAGGCTCTGGGTAGATCGTCTGACGGCGACATCAGCGGCAATAGAATTGAAAAAAGCGTTGTGTCGTCCCAGAGTAAGCCGCTGTTTTGTTGGCGAAAGGCATTTTTAACATCTCGTTTAAGACTACTGACACTTTTTAATCATTATCCCGAGTTGATTATTGCTTTTGTATATTTGCCATTTACTTTAACTTTCAGTATTTAAAAATCTTACCTTTTATACTCAACAGGAGATTATAGTTGGACAATTTCTCCTTACTTTTTATACAGAACATTATAATTTAACATAATTCTTTTTACTTTTAATACCATAACTTTTAAATCTAAAATAACCGTTTTGACATTGTATTTTATTTGTGGATTTTAGACTCTAAGTAAATAAATAAATAATATTATTATAATAATTTTTATTATATTTAGTTCTATATTCTGTCAGGGCAATCAATTTGCTAATTGCATCGGATTTACCTTGCAATTTACCAGGCAAATGGTAGTCGAAAATCTGAAGGCATATCCATGAAATCAGGTGGCTACTCCACGCAGAGAGGGTTTGCTCTACTATTGTATTATGGTACTAAAAAGTTCAGATGGAATCCCATTTTTATGTTGTCGTTTGTGTGTTAGACATTTATACAGTTACATATTCCGAAAAGAAAAAAAAGAAAAGAAACAGTGCTTGGATGGGATTAAAGTTTTTAGCTTGAAAATAAATTAATTTGGTTGTGAACCAACAGAAATATTAAATACATATTTATTCTATTTTGAAATATAGGCTATGGTACATTCTAATTTGCAAAGAAGTGTAGTTATCAAGCCTGTGGTGCTGTGGTTGCAATTTAAAAACCATCTTCTTCCAGACTTGGCTTACATTATACGGCACATAAAAAACAACAATAATTGATACATGCATTCTAATATTGCCGTAGCGACACACATCGCTAATTAAATAATCATCTTTTGAAACGAATATGGCAAGTTTCGAATATGGCAAGTTGCATACAGTGCTTGTTAAAATGAATCCAAGATCAGATGCAATTATTAAATTTATTTTACAGGTAGATCTAAATTTTACATTGCTCTACCGGTCCGACATATGGTATCCATTGTAGGTGAATGACCACCACAACTGGAAAAGTTTCAATTCGGCGATGTCAAAAAATCTGGAACAACTCCTGCACCACTGGTTTATGGCACTGAAGCTGGCAAAATCTTTAGAGATCTGCTGATTGATTACTAGCAAGCGTTCGATCATCTCGATCATCCTCTGCTTATAAACGAACTTAAAAAATCATAGGGCTGCATGACGTAATTGTTTGCTGGATTGCAGCCTTTGCCACCAAAACTCAACAACGTGTAAAACTTGGTCAAATCATTTCAGAATGAAACCATTGGCAGTTCAACAATGGGTCAGTACCTCAGGGACACTGGCACCGTTCGTTGCTCTTTGTCCTGATGTTAAACGCTCTAAAAATTCCACCCTGCAGCTCTCTGTGCCACAATTTAGGCCATTTACTATTTAATATCATTTACACATGAGCATGAATGTAGAGAAAACGGTGAAACTTTGGTATGTAATGAGATCATACAACAAATTACCCCATCTCATTGCGTACAGCGTCATTCACTCAATGGAAATATTTCAAAATGAACTCAACAAATTATGTATTGAAATTGAATACATTACACTTTTAAAAATTAAACATTTTACAGCAGATTTGTATATCATTGTACTGTTTGCCACTGGGGACTGACAAAGCCCCTTTCAGTTAATTTGATCGAGATGGCCTTTTTGCGAATTTATTGCCCGCGCTTCAGAATGGCTTTCTCCAATCCTAACATAGGCGCCTCAAAGACCATGGAGACCACGAAGGCACAACCGTATGACGTCACGAGGTGCCCGAAGAAATAATAAGTCTGAAAAAGATCAATCAAAACGCTTTTAATAGACGTCTTTAAAGAATCACAAAAAAAAAAAAGAAAAAAAAATCCCAGAATAGATATAAACGCTGAACTTGACGTAACGTCATACACATTCAGATTATTAATTTTTAAGAAAGCGAACACTAAGGGTTTTTTCCCACCTCATTCCTGTAGCGTCACTCGCAAACAAATGACAATAAAAATAATGAATGCAGATCATGACTTTTGATTAAATAAGTTTTATACTCTTAATTAGAAAGGAGTTTACCATAGTCATGTCAGAAGCATATATCGGTTCCTCTTTCATCTGATAGACGGCGAACATGATAATGGGGTGGACAAGGTAGGCACAGTAGGTCAGTCGGCTGAGGGGCACGAAGGCATCCCAGGACAAAATTTTATTAACAATGCCTGTAAACGTGAATGTTTTCTTCTGCTTCGTTATTTTATTTATATGAAGAAAATGAATGCAGTGTGTTCAAAAGAAAAAAAATGCTTTGGATTACAAGTATTAAGTTCTTATTATTTGAAACGGCTGTTAAAAGTCTTGAGGAAACTAGTCTAAAAAACTTTAACGTTTTATTGTAAGTGAAAAAACTGAGTTTGTAGTAAGGGAATTATTTTAGCCAGTAGTACTCTGAAATGAGTGTCAAGTTACAAGTACATACCCCCATAACCGGTGCAGCAGGCATAGATCACCCAAGCTACGCATGCGCCCCACAGTGTCCTGGACGTGGCATTGTATAGTGCTGCCACCTGGTAGTTCCACGGATGACCATTGAGAGGCTCATACAAACCAAACACCAACCACGCTCCTAAAGCTATGGCGACAGCCCAGGCAAACATTGCTATGACCTGAAGCCAATTTGAATTATCTACTGTACTTAAGTACTTTGACAAAAATATACTTAAACTTCTACATGTAAATGTAAATTATGGTCAATATCGCCGTAATAGTTTATACGCAAAGTAATGCTGAAGCAAATGTAGTTGGTGTCGAAATAGATTTGAAAATAATAACGGTTCCAATAAACTATTGGCATGCAGTTCAGAAGCCGTTATTTACGAGCCCGTAAGAAAATTAGTTATTATTACACTAAAAAGCTTTCCCCCAATAAATTGCCATATAAGGCGATAAAACCGAAATATTATTGACGTACAGACTAAACAATGAGAGCCACACACTACTACTACATGAACGTTTCGATTTACCACATTCGGCTTTTGATCACGTGAATGTTGATTTCGCTGTTTATATCAGCCCCCCCCCCCCCAGCCCTCCCAACACACATTAAAATGCGATCAACGGCTTCATCAGGGCCAAGGCAAGCGTTCGGTTTCCTAGTTGCCGAATTCAGGAGCGAAATCACCAGTCAAGTATACAGCAAGCATACAAACATTATTTCCATATGGATACTATTGATCATGATTTTTTATTGTATTACAAACTAAACGGAACTTCAAATGAACTATGTAATCAACTACAGTTACCCAGTTTGCCTTGGGTTTGCACTGAGTGACGTGTAGTACATATCCAGTAGCCATTCCTACAAGGTATGGTCCTATTCTACACCAAGGCTTGATGTACATGATGTCGAAGTTATCTGCCCTGGAGACAGAAATGTGAATTGTATCCCAGAATTTCACTGACACACTGTATGTACCTTGACTATGAGCATTAACTTATTTTTTGCCACTAATAAGATGTGATGGGTATCATCTGTGTTTTTTTTTCATGGAAGGTGTCTGCTTTTAAGTTATTAATTTTTAATCATAAACTTAATATTACATTTGTCATTGTGTTTTAGGGGGAGGGTGTTATCATTCCAACTTCATTTTAGGTATATATTTCCCATGCTATGATGCCTTGAGATGTTGGTTTGGGTCATCTTTACAAGATTGTATACATAGTATGCTAAACCCATTTTAATAAAAACATGTATAACACCATGTCATTCCGGTTATTTCTATCACTTAAGCTATCACAGGGGCATAACATGTTGCAGAGTAGTTAAACTCACTCATTGCCTCCCACGGCATTGGGCCCATACTTATGGTAGGCCGAGACAGATCCAGAAGATATCCAACAGCCTAGCAATAACAGAAACATGATGACTGCGCCGGCAATCCTACTCCTAAAACGAAGATTTTTGTTCGAATTATTTTATTTGCATAAATTTGGATTTCTATGAATGATAAGGTTAAGGAAAAACCACTAGAAAAATACACACTGTATGAAATAACAATTAGGGTGTGCGAGGTTGACATAAGGTAACTACTTGCTTCTGCAGAAAGTGCAGCAAATGGAGAATGGTGGATTGCTTGTTTGTAATAAACGTAAATATTTGTTATGTGATGAATACATTAACAAAGAGAAAAAAGAAATGCACCTTTGTGTATAAGGATGAATTTAAAAACTTCTAAAGAACATCGCTCATGGCATATACTTTAGTGAATGGTGTTATATTGAGTATACTTGTGTGAATGGGGTTAGCGCAGATTGGAAAAATGGAATGTACCAAGAAGTAATTACGCTTACCAAAACAAAGGCAATAAGATAAAAGGTGTAATCACGAAGAATTGCATGTCATTGGCCAGATACCACGACCATCCAAAACACTGAAAATAAAGATAACAAAGTATAAATTCATCAAGTATAATAACATCATCATCATCATCATCATACGTCAGGGTAATCAAAGACAATGTCCGAAAGCTCTCTGAAAAATATTTCACAATTTTCAGTGGTGGGCAGTTTTAATATTCTGAGGAAAGCACAGTGTCATATTCTTTAATAATCATATACACCCTGATCAAACTCATGTCAAAGATATATATAGATACACGTATTAATTGATATTAATAAATTCAATATATCCATTTAAATGGGTATACCCTATTGTCAACGATTACCAAATACACAACATTAAATTAATTCCATGGTTAAAAATATACATTTTTTAAAACTACTTACCAACTTTTTAGTGTCCACAACATTGTTGACGTACAGTAAGTTGGTCCACCAGTAATCTCCACAATATTTTTCTTGATTTTCCCCTGCCCACATAGGTCCATTAGACCAGTATCTGTACGTTGTGGCGTACACCAATAGCACTAACATGTACGGCGGAGTCAACCTATGAATGAAACAGTACACGTTATCAATAATGCAGTTTTTGTAACTTTATAGTGTGAGCTATTTCTAAAATATTGAAATTACAAAAAAAAAAAAAAAGAAAAATTATAACACTTAAAAAACGTGTCATATACGTACTGTAGTACGTATGGCTGCATGTGACTTATACATTGTACATGCATGGCTAAAGTTTAAGCTTCAATTTATCCTCCAAATTTGGAATTGGAAATGTCTATTGCCACACATATGACGCTTATTTTACCCCCCTACAAAAGAAGCGCCACCTCTATCGTTTTAATGTCCATTGTTCTACGGTACTATGTCAGTTTATGCATTTATGTCATTTTCACTTGGTTGAACGACCAGTGAAATTTTAATTTTTAAATGCATTGTTTGACGACATGTATTTTTTATCATTCTACCCACTGCAGTATGGGTGACATATTTCACTATACAAACCTCCAAAATCTATGGAAATAATACATTCCCCAGTTAATCCTGAGCATGCGCAGTTTTCCTCTCAGTGTTCCCCTTTTCATCTCGCGCAGGGTCAGATAGGTGACTAGCAGTCCACTGGAACGGAACTCATTTTAGGCTTACATTTATATATATATCAGCAATTCAATCAAGCAGTGATTAGGAAACCAATTTAAGAACCCATTATTCAGCTAAAATAACCATGTTATACTAAATTCATATTATTGTAATTTACCACAACAATCAATTCACTTTGATGTCAGATATCCATAATCGATACCAATGAAGTGATCTGAAGGTCTCACCTCATGACAAAAAAGGAATCAACCGAGTAAGGCGCTTGGAACAGTACTTGCATTGACTTCCGCGTCATAATGTCGTGGCCATGGGACGCACCGTTCTCTAAAATGGATGCATTCAATACCTCACATACCGTATATATATATATAACACCTTAGAGAAGAATTTAGAAATTATATAATGGCTATAGGTACACGTAATCCTGGGCATGTGCAATTTGCCTCTCAATATTATTTCGCTCTTCAAATCATGCCTTTTTTCTATCACATTCATAAAAAAAAATGTACGCATATTTATTTTCATATATGTTCAAAAACAAACGATAAAAACGTAACAATGTTATAATTAGTTTTACGGAAATACATTAATTTTTGTAGTTGGTATGACATATAGATTATTGTTGACATTCCAATCATTTTTATTAAAACAGGAACTACAGTGCTCTTCGTCCATAAAACCATACTTCAACAAAAAAATAATAATAATAAAATAAAAAAAAAGTCAACTTTGTTCTGCGCCCTTGATGATGTCTTCTTCCTTATTATAATACTTACTTATATATCTCATCATAAAATAGTACGTATGGCCCCAAATAACCCAGGTTAGGCTGAGAAACCGGATACCATTGACACAATTCAGCGCACCGGACGGCTGCTTGGCACTTAGGACCTTGGCTGCATTGGTGTACACAGAGAAAGCTATCATGACTTTGTGACATATTCCTGAAATAGCCAAAATACGCATTTACCACAATAACATGATCTGACATATGCAGAGACCAATATAACCACAGAGCACTGCAACATTTTGGTGAAAATAGCCAATAAGCAAATTTAAAGATGAAAAAAGACATTTAGTTCGGCAATATTCTTTCAATAGTGAATATATTACACGATCGAACGAAGATAAGGTTGTTTTCCAAAAACGACCGATTATAACATAAAGCACAACGCTTATTGAATGCAAATACAAATGTCTGTCTTTATTGTGCAGAGCTAGAGAATGATGCAAACAAAATTTATTGTACATTTAAAAGTCCCTATTATCTGTTGTCATTTCTTCCAACAAAAGTCTGCATTTATTTTCAAGCCGCTTGCCTTTTTCTCTTTGTGAAGAAGGTGAATTTGGCGACGATGGAATGGCATAGTAACCATCTGCTTGAACTGTAGGACCCTTATCCTCCAAGGCGTCACGTGGGATAACCTGCTGTGCTGTTCCTGACGTCAGAAAACTTTGATCAATGATGTCATACATTGTGGCCAATAGGACCAGGAGTAGAAGTAAGCCGGAAATGCATCTGTTAGGGAAAACAATAAAGTGATACTTTGAATGTGTCTGTGTTTCAGCATGAATTATGGTGATCTTACTTTTTTTTCACTAGTACAGTACTGTACGTACTTTCACTTGGAATCAATTTTCAAAGGACTGCTTTGCATGTCTCTGATAAGTATACTTTGTTTCTTTGTTATATTAGCAAAAGTCGTTCGTGAGCCGTGTAAAACGTAAAGGTTAACGTAAAATTATTCAAAAATTACGTTTGTTGTCAAGCCATTTGTACTTTTGTATTTAACAGGTAGACATTATGTGATACATACAATGCAGCGGTAGTTCCGGACGCCCAAGGTAGCTCTTTCGGTTTGCAGGAGACGAACCACAGCTTAAGATTTAATACTGCAATTGATATGTGGATCTCTAAATCATTTATTACATGGTTTTAAATCTTTCGTTCAGAAAGCAAATGATAGTTAAATCTGATACTTTATGGTGCAGAGTCAGCTGAGCACAGAACTGCTTGTTAATATGAAATGTAGTATTTTGAACATTAAAAGTGTCTTATGACATGTGAGTTAGCGCCAACGGGATGTAATAAAAAAGACAAAAATTGTGCAAACATCGATCAAATGGATTTAATTCTAGGGGCAATGCCCTGTAACTGTTTGGTAGTGGGAAATAGAACTAGGACAATGTGTGTGATTAGTTCGACAGATACTCACTGTTATCAGCCATGGATTTGATATCTTCCCCGCTACATCCACTTGGGACACAGATCCCCAGGGTTAGTGCCACGAAATGGCCAACCTACAGAGGAAATGAATGCACTGGTACGGTGATGGATGGGCTAAAGTTGGGGGTGCGTAACTCTGATAAAGCACAATATACAGGTAACACTTACATCACCCTTCAATTTCTATATTTTCTCATTTTAATGCTGTCCTCAATTTTTTACACGCACGCGTGCGTTTGGACATTTGTGACTGAGCACGTATACACAAATATTACAAACGAATCTAACACACATTACACAAAGGCGCACGTACCCCCCCCTCTCTCTCTCAAACACAAACAGCGATCATAACCCGTCTGTTTATAATACTCACAAGACTTTGAGGCCCAGAGAGCATCGTTGTACAATACTGCCCCTCAAAGGAATCACTGACTTGAATAGCTTGACTGGAGTTAAAGCCAGTGCTTTCGTTGTAATGTAAACTGGCCTGAACTTTGTTGCACTCGCTGTACGAGCCGTACCAACGCGTGTTGCCGTCTAACACCCCGCTTCCCATTTTACCCGTGGCATCCAGCACTGCAAAAACATTAAGACTAAAGGAATGACTTAGGACATATGTGCGTTTTTAACTTGGAGCCAAAGGCTATTGATTGTGATCGCCGAATTTATTACTTTAATCGCGATTTCATAGTCCGTGTGTTTAAATACTGGCTGAGAGCATCGAGTTATTAACTGTGCAAGTCTCTTCACCTGCCTGTTCGACACGTTCAATATGTGCCATGTGTCCATATGTGAGAGATTATCATGACAGAATTATTCTTGTATTTTAATAAGCAGTCCGAATGATAGATCAAAAAAATACATAAGTGTGCTTCATTTTGATATTTTTCAAATGATAGCGTTAATTCACAGACAATATTAACTAAGAAAATGGAGAAGGGTAACTCGTTTCTTTGAATCTATGAAAGCTCTCATGTCGAGTTTCTCGTTTATTTTGTCAAATTTAAAATAGTTTGGTGTTGATAAAGGAACCCATATGTTAAACCGATCAGAAACCTGGATGAAAGGCAGCCAGAACCCCACAAAATGTTCCCAGTCAGTGCTCGCAAGCGGCACTGTTTATACCAATAGGCGATAACTTTAATTAATTAATATTAATAAGTTCAAATGATAACGAAGTGTAATTTTCAAAGAGACAATGGCGAGATATCTACTACAGAAAATATTGCTTTGCTTATATATATATATATATATATATATATATATATATATATATATATAAACAAAATTCTACAGCTTTACTATATACACTGTTTTAAATATGACTTACACATTCAATCTTTTACAAACAATACCAAAGATATTTGGCAGCCTTACTGCATTTTTTATCATATCATGAATATTAAAATGGTTTGAATAAAAAAGGAACTAGAGCTGAATATTTATAATTATGATATTATTCCGGTATTTCGTGCACACTATATCATATCAAAGCTAAGCCAATGCGCATGACTTTGATGTGTTGCACGTGAGAACTGACAAAATGACATATGATGCGTTCCTAGTATCTCTCGCAATTGTTCGCACCCTGCGCGTGAACGAGTGGATATCACAGCAGATAAGCCTAGCAGATATATTTTGACAATATGCAAGGTGGTGAACTGCCACCTGTTGCAGATCTGTCGATAACACAGGCGGAGCAAGGGCTAGATATTTCGCATCGAAAGCATTAATTAATGTGTTACTTAAATCCTGAGTGAGTTATCAAATCGAATCCTTTGCACATTTCTTGGCGTATTCCACTCAATGCAATGGCAACAACTGCATTCGTAACATTACCCTTAATAATACCCATAAGTGCATGTAAATTATACTTCTACAAAATTTTTCTGTGTAGAAATGTTTGAAAATGTGTTGATCATGTTATTAGAACATATAGAGTATGTATGACTTAAATCTCTAACTCAATGTGCGGGGTGTCCCGTGAACACTAAATACCTACTTTGTAAAGCCCACTTCTTTTTCTTCTGAATCCCGGTAAGGAAATATTCGACTCTTGTTAAACAGGTTTGTGAGACGTTAAAACCAGGTGATTTCTCGTTCAGGTCTTTAACGAATGCTGCAACTGCATCGTCCAAGCCATACAGTCCAAGAAGTGACCCAAATAACTTTTGTCTGTTTTCGTCATGTTCGCGGCTAAAGGCGTCTTTCGCTGCAAGCATGTCTTCTCTAAAATTATAGAAGTGATTTTCTTTTCCAATTATTTGGCCCGTAGAGGCGTTGAGGATTAGCGCAAATAAGATTACCTGAGAGAGGTACAGCGTCATTTTTAAGTACATGTAAGTGAAGCGCGGTGACCAAACTTTTTCAATTCCGTCACAAGAATTGCGCAAATAATACCCAGCTGCCAAAGATGGTATTGTCATTCGCTGTGAGCGGAAAGGTACAGTTCGTTGTGTTTTATAGCACCAGTGCCACCTAGGATTTTGGTATGGAGGGCACATGACGTCATTTCTTTTCTTGATCACCTGACGTCATTACGCCAAAATACTACATGGCTAGATGAAATACACAGCAAATGAGATGTGACCGGAGATATTTGGATTTACCCCGATGTTTGAGGTTGTCACACACATGCATGCACACACACGCACGTGCACTTGCGCGCACGCAAACGACAAAAGAGAAAAACAACTTTGACAAGGAATATTTCAACTGACGAAAGGTCCCATGTTGATGTGGTTGGTTTAAGGCACCTGAACAGTGCCATCTAGATTATCCAATAGTTAATTATCCATCTTATCTTAGAAATTTTAATTTTCAGGCATAGAGATGGCATGCAGTTCCAAAAGTAACGATTTGATAGTTAATAGATACATTCCATTTACAATTGTGGAGTTTTTCATAATAAAATATCAAATTTATTATATTTTATTTGAAATAAAATAAACTCCTCTTATATTTAAACATAATTTATTGTTATAGTGATTGTTCATTTACACAGGAAGGTGAATGGAAAGAAGCTAGTGCATCACTAATATACAGTATATTGCATGAAATCAAACAAATAACATTGACCATTCTGATAAGGCACAGCGTCATTCGTGTAGAGAAATACAAAGAACATCGAAATACATGTAGAAACCAAAATACTGTGTATTTAAATGAAATGCATTACATTTCTAAAGCAGTTAAGACACACCTTCATATATAGAATGCTTGAACAGTTGATATCTAAAAAAAAAAAACTCGTCCAACTATTGCCATGCACTAGCTGTCAATGTCTACGTCATTTTTATCTTTCTGTCTATATATTTAATGATATTGTAACCCTTTTTATCAACCAGATACCGATAATGATTTTTTATTCCTGCATCTAATTATTCAATTATGCATCTATATTTGTGCTAAAATAATAAAAAAATTATACACCCTCGAAAATATAAAATATCGGCGTTCATATATTTTTCTTTGCAGTGTATATAGGCAACTCAAAGCTTAAATCGTCAATTTGACACCTTTCTATTTTGAGGTGAGATAGCAATCGGTATGTTTTTCTCTTTTAATGAAAAATGTTCTTAATCTGTTCTAGGTCATTCTCAAGGACTTCCCAGAAACAGTTTTTGAACTGTTACATCCATTACAGAACAAAATTACAACTGTAAAAATACACCAAATGTTCTAGAACAGATTGAGAACCGGAAGCGAACGTTAAATAAGACAAATTTTCGCAGGGGATGGTTTTGGAGCACTAAATGATGTCGTGTTCAATCGGCGTTGAAACGTTGGTCGTGGGTGCTCAGGTAAAAGGGAAATTTAAGAAACTGATTTTTCAGTTTTTACCCCAAAATCCCAATTGTGACGTCACCCGTTAGATGACGTATGTGTAAATGTTTATTAATTTAGTCAGTGGACACTGAAGATTTACTTATTACCCAAAAGAATGTGTGTAAGGCAGTAAATAAGGGTTTTGAACGAAGGGTTACAATATCCTAGCACCCTAGTGTTTCTTAGGCTTTTGTAAATTTTCAGTAAGATGTAAACGAAAATATTGTTGTTTGTCATAAGGTAAAATGCCTGACAATATCCCTGTTCGTGTTACATGTAATTAGAGATGCCCTCTTTGCAATACAGCCAGTTTATTGTCCGCGCTTCAGAATGGCTTTCTCCAATCCTAACATAGGCGCCTCAAACACCATGGACACCACGAAGGCACAACCGTATGACATCACGAGGTGCCCGAAGAAATAATAAATCTGAAAAAAAAATCATTGAAGCCAAAACAATTTGCGTTAAGCAAAGAATACGTAAAACCTAGTTAAATTTTGCCACGGGCGCCATACGATAAAATCGTACACGATTTGTGTGCAATATTTTGGACATGGAAGTGGCCACAGGCAAATTTTACGCTTCTGTCCCGTGTCCAGTTAAATAACAGATAAATGACAAAATACGAATGGCGGCACCGAAAGACGTTAATTTTTGTTTGTATTACTATCGCGAAAGTACCCTTTTAAGATCTACAGTGGCGCTGGTTACCACTTAGTTTGCCCAACTGAACAGATCGGGCCTACTGCAAATCTATTGGCGTATTTTCTACGATGTTATGACAAATAGGGTATTGATTACATTGCCTTTTATGAAAAAAAAGTGTGTTACATATACTATTGAATATTTGTTTGTTATTAAAGAGACTGTTCAGGTGTAACTATTGTGTGGACTTATAACATCTATAGCGCGTTTGTTTATATTTGTCATTGTAAATGATATAGATTTTATATTACATAAAGTAAGTCACAATTCACTTCGTAAAGCCCACACCTGCCTCTCCTGAATCCCGGTAAGGAAATGTTCGAATCTTGTTAAACAGGTTTGTTAAACAGGTTTGTGAGACGTTAAAACCAAGTGATTTCCCGTTCAGGTCCTCAACGAATGTTGCAACCGCATCGACTAGTCCATCAAGACCAAGAAATGATCGAAATAAATTTTGTCTGTTTCCGTCATGTTCACGACTAATGTCGACTTTCGCTGCATACACAACTTCTCCAGTATCATAGAGGTGATTTTGTTTATCAATTATTTCGCCCGTACAAATGGTGAAGGTTAGTACTACTAAGAGTACCTGCGCAGAACACACTATCATTTCTGAATACTTGTCACTGAAACGTTGTAACAAAAAATATTCGATTCCGCCACAGGGATTGCACAAATACTACCCCTGTTGACTACTTATGTGTATTCTCAGTCGCTGTGAGTAGCAATAGTGACACCAACAGGGTTAGTATGGAAGTCACATGACGTCAGGTCTCTTGATCAGCTGACATGCACACGTCGATTACCTCTTGACTAGATGAATTACACACATATATATAAATATATATATATATATATATATATATATATATATATATATATATATATATATATATATATATATAT